CCCCCGGTGTCTCTGTAGCTGCAGCAGCGTCTACTCACCCCTCCCCCCTTGTGTCTCTGTAGCTGCAGCAGCGTCTACTCACCCCTCCCTGCTGTCTCTGTAGCTGCAGCAGCGTCTACCCCCCCCACCCGTGTCTCTGTAGCTGCAGCAGCGTCTACTCACCCCTCCCCCCTTGTGTCTCTGTAGCTGCAGCAGCGTCTACTCACCCCCCTGGTGTCTCTGTAGCTGCAGCAGCGTCTACTCACCCCCCTGGTGTCTCTGTAGCTGCAGCAGCGTCTACTCACCCCCCCCGATGTCTCTGTAGCTGCAGCAGCGTCTACTCACCCACCACCCCCACCCGTGTCTCTGTAGCTGCAGCAGCGTCTCCTCACCCACCCACCACCCCCACCCGTGTCTCTGTGCCCGTGTCCCCAGCATTGTGATCATGTTCGTGTTCGTGAAGATTCTCTTCTACGTGTGCTGGTACCGCTCACGCCAGCGACAACTGCACACCTACCTGGCAAACCCCGGCACCACCCAGGTGGTGATCGTGGGCAGTCGCGCCTACCTGCACCGGATGTGGCAGAGGAGGAGCGTGAGTAGCCACGCACGGGCACACGTGTCCGTGTGTGTGTGCGTGTGTGTGTGTGTGCGTGTGTGTCTGGGTGTGTCTGTGTGTCTGTGTGTGTCTGTGTGTGTGTGTGTTAGTGTGTGTCTCAGTGCATGTCTGTGTGTGTCTCTCAGTGTGGATCTGTGTGTGTGTGTGTGTCTCAGTGCGTGTCTGTGTGTGTGTGTCTCAGTGCGTGTCTGTGTGTGTGTCTCAGTGCGTGTCTGTGTGTGTGTGTGTGTCTCAGTGCATGTCTGTGTGTGTGCGTGTGTCTCAGTGTGGATCTGTGTGTGTGCGTGTCTGTGTGTGTGTGTCTCAGTGCATATCTGTGTGTGTGTCTCTCAGTGTGGATCTGTGTGTGTGTGTCTCTCAGTGTGGATCTGTGTGTGTGTGTGTGTGTCTCAGTGCGTGTCTGTGTGTGTGTCTCAGTGTGGATCTGTGTGTGTGTGTGTTAGTGTGTTAGTGCGTGTGTGTGTGTCTGTGTGTGTCTGTGTGTCTGTGTGTTAGTGCGTGTCTGTGTGTGTGTGCGTGTGTGTCTGTGTGTCTGTGTGTGTCTGTGTGTGTGTGTGTCTCATTAGGGGAAAAAACGGTGATACAATCTCCGACCCCCAGGAACAGGTTCGCAAATTTGCTGAGCATTTCTGTGAGGTCCTGGGGGAGGGAAAATCCCTCAGCCAGGAAAACATTGTGGCACAAAGTGAGGATGACCCTGCTGAGGCTGCGGTGCCTCAAATATTGGAAGAAGTCACCCCCTGTGAGTGGCTGGCTGAGGTGCCATCTGCTGAGGAAGTATTGAAGGCGATCCGGAGTCTGAGACCAGGAAAGGCAGCGGGCAGAGATGATCTCCCAAGCGAAATGCTGAGGGAGGGTGGCGTTTGTGCACAGACTGCCCTATATGACATCATAACAACAGTCTGGACCACTGGACGGGTTCCGCAGGATTGGAAGGATGCCCTGGTGGTCCCCCTTTTTAAGAAGGGGGACCGCACAGACTGTAACAACTACAGGGGCATTTCACTCCTCAGTGTGCCGGGAAAGGTCCTGGCAAGGATTATTCAGCATCGCCTTGCCAGGCACGCTGAGGAGAGGCTTGCGGAGCCCCAATGCGGTTTCAGGAAAGGGCGGTCCTGCACAGATGCCATATTTTCTGTCCGTCTGCTACAGCAGAGGTGTAGGGAATTCCAACAAGACCTACATCTCTGCTTTATTGACCTGGTCAAGGCCTATGATACCATCAGTAGGCCTGGGCTCTGGGTCGTTCTTCGTGCTTTTGGAGTACCTGACCCTCTGCTCACGATCATTAAGGACCTTCATGATGGTGAGCGGGCCCGGGTAAAACTACGTGGCCGGGAGTCAGAGCCATTCCCTGTACACCTTGGGGTGCGACAGGGATGTCCTCTGGCTCCCACATTATTTAACATCTATTTTGACCACGTAGTTTGTGAAGCCTTCATTAGCTGTACCGGGGGAATCTCCATATGGTACAGATATAATGGGAGGCTAATCGATGCCCGGGTGCGGTCAAGGGATGGCTCCCTATTGCTCAACCACGTTATGTATGCTGATGATTTGGTAATAGCTGCTCAGTCAGAGGAGGAGTTGGAGACGCTGCTGCTGAGACTGGAGCGTGCCACTAAGAGGTGGGGCCTTACCATCAGCCCCACCAAAACTAAGCACCTGCCTGGGTATTTTGTACCATCGGACACTCCATCCCCACAACTCCCAATCGGTGATGGGGCAGTTGTGGAGAGAGTGGAGAGTTTCCCATACCTGGGCAGTGTGCTTATGACTGGCTCCAGTTTAACAGCAGAGGTCTCACTCCGAATCAGTCGAGCGGCAATATCTTTCCATCGGTTGCGTAATGCTGTGTGGAAGCTACCTGGTCTGTCGCTCCACACTAAGCTTCAGGTCTTCTCGGCCACGGTCATTCCCTCCCTTCTCTACGCTTGTGAAACGTGGACCCCCCTAATGGAACATCTTCGCCGGTTAGAAACATTTAGGCTGACCTGCCTACGATCCATCCTGGGTTTAACCAGACTGGATTGTGTGAGGAGCTCACAAATCCTTGAAACATCTGGGTGAGAATGATGGTATCATAGGCCTTGACCAGGTCAATAAAGCAGAGATGTAGGTCTTGTTGGAATTCCCTACACCTCTGCTGTAGCAGATGGACAGAAAATATGGCATCTGTGCAGGACCGCCCTTTCCTGAAACCGCATTGGGGCTCCGCAAGCCTCTCCTAGCGTGCCTAGCAAGGCGATGTTGAATAATCCATGCCAGGACCTTTCCCGGCACACTAAGGAGTGAGATGCCCCTGTAAATGTTACAGTGAGTCTGAGTGAGCCTGTGTGTGTGAGTCTATGAGGCTGCGTTGACTGGGTCATGTAGCCCGCATGCCCAGCCACCGCATGCCTAAACAGCTTTTGTTCGGCCGGATCGAGGGGGCTAAACGGGCGCGGCACGGGCTAGAGAAGAGATGGAGTGATGTGGTACAGGAGGACGTGGAGCTGAGTGGACTTGCCGATGACTGGTACCAGCGGTGTCAAGATCGGCCTCTGTGGAGGAGGCTCGTGAAGGATGCTACTGGGCAGTTGGAGGTAGTCGCCCTCCAACAAGAACGGAGGGCGGAGGAGCGACGCTCAGAACAATGAGCGGAGCGCCGGGTGGCTTAAAGCACAGCAGGTTGGCACAGTAGGGGGCACAGGTGGTGCACCAGCCAGTCATCTCAGTCGTCTCAGTCAGTCGACCCGTGGCACCTGGGTCTGCCCCGTGACCTCCTGCCAGCGGGCGTTCGACACTTCACGTGGCCTCAGGGTGCACATAGCCTGGCACAAGCGTCGTGGTGACGTCACCGCCACTTAGTGGCGAATGGCGGTTGTTGTTGTGTGTGTCTGTGTGTGTCTGTGTATGTCAACACCTTCAAAGGTGCTCGCTGACAGCACTTGCCCCAACAGTCTGTTCAGGCTATAAGGGGGATCTTTGTCTTTTGTGCCAACACCTTAATGGGTGCTCGTTGTTGTTGTTGTTGACGTGGTTGTTGTTGTTGACGTGGTTGTTGTTGTTGTTGTTGACATTGTTGTTGTTGTTGACGTGGTTGTTGATGTGGTTGTTGTTGACGTGATTGTTGTTGTTGACGTGGTTGTTGTTGTTGTTGTTGAAGTGATTGTTGACGTGATTGTTGTTGTCGTTGACGTGGTTGTTGTTGTCGTGGTTGTTGACGTGGTTGTTGTTGTTGACGTGGTTGTTGTTGTTGACGTGGTTGTTGTTGTTGTTGTTGACGTGGTTGTTGTTGTTGTTGACGTGGTTGTTGTTGTTGTTGTTGTTGACGTGGTTGTTGTTGTTGTTGACGTGGTTGTTGTTGTTGACGTGGTTGTTGTTGTTGTTGACGTGGTTGTTGTTGTTGTTGTTGACGTGGTTGTTGTGGTTGTTGTTGTTGTTGACGTGGTTGTTGTTGTTGTTGACGTGGTTGTTGACGTGGTTGTTGTTGTTGACGTGGTTGTTGTTGTTGACGTTGTTGTTGTTGTTGACGTGGTTGTTGTTGTTGTTGACGTGGTTGTTGTTGTTGTTGACGTGGTTGTTGTTGTTGTTGACGTGGCTGTTGTTGTTGTTGACATTGTTGTTGTTGACGTGGTTGTTGTTGTTGTTGACGTGGTTGTTGTTGTAGTTGACGTGGCTGTTGCTGTTGTTGTTGTTTACACTCAGAGCCCGGCGTTCTACAGCTGGTACCCAACGCGCGACGCCGCCGCCGCCGCCGCCGCCGCTGCCGGCGGCGGCGGCGGTCTCCCGGCACAGTCGGTGTCACCAGCACCATCCTACTGCCACCTGGAGGTGCCTCCACCATACGAACACGTTGCTGGTACCCAGCACGCGGGTGAGGAACGCTCACCACCACCACACTCACCACCACCACCACCACACTCACCACCACCACCACCACCACACTCACCACGCTCACCGCCACCACCACCACACTCACCACCACCACCACGCTCACCAACAACAACAACAACAACAACAACCGCCATTCGCCACTAAGTGGCAGTGACGTCACCACGACGCTTGTGCCAGGCTATGTGCACCCTGAGGCCACGTGAAGTGTCGAACGCCCGCTGGCAGGAGGTCATGGGGCAGACCCAGATGCCACGGGTCGACTGACTGAGATGACTGGCTGGTGCACCACCTGTGCCCCCTACTGTGCCAACCTGCTGTGCTTTAGCCACCCGGCGCTCCGCTCGCTGTTGTGAGCGTCGCTCCTCCGCCCTCCGTTGTTGTTGGAGGGCGACCGCCTCCAACTGCCCAGTAGCATCCTTCACGAGCCTCCTCCACAGAGGCCGATCTTGACACCGCTGGTACCAGTCATCGGCAAGTCCACTCAGCTCCACGTCCTCCTGTACCACATCACTCCATCTCTTCTCTAGCCCGTGCCGCGCCCGCTTAGCCCCCTCAATCCGGCCAAACAAAAGCTGTTTCGGCATGCGGTGGCTGGGCATGCGGGCTACATGACCCAGCCATCGCAGCCTTGCCTGCCGGAGGAGCTCACCGATGGGACCCTGCCCAGATCTTTCAAGGATTTGTGAGCTCCTCACACAATCCAGTCTGGTTAAACCCAGGATGGATCGTAGGCAGGCCAGCCTAAATGTTTCTAACCGGCGAAGATGTTCCATTAGGGGGGTCCACGTTTCGCAAGCGTAGAGAAGGGAGGGAATGACCGTGGCCGAGAAGACCTGAAGCTTAGTGCGGAGCGACAGACCAGGTAGCTTCCACACAGCGTTACGCAACCGATGAAAAGATATTGCCGCTCGACTGATTCGGAGTGAGACCTCTGCTGTTAAACTGGAGCCAGTCATAAGCACACTGCCCAGGTATGGGAAACTCTCCACTCTCTCCACAACTGCCCCATCACCGATTGGGAGTTGTGGGGGTGGAGTGTCCGATGGTACAAAATACCCAGGCAGGTGCTTAGTTTTGGTGGGGCTGATGGTAAGGCCCCACCTCTTAGTGGCACGCTCCAGTCTCAGCAGCAGCGTCTCCAACTCCTCCTCTGACTGAGCAGCTATTACCAAGTCATCAGCATACATAACGTGGTTGAGCAATAGGGAGCCATCCCTTGACCGCACCCGGGCATCGATTAGCCTCCCATTATATCTGTACCATATGGAGATTCCCCCGGTACAGCTATTGAAGGCTTCACGAACTACGTGGTCAAAATAGATGTTAAATAATGTGGGAGCCAGAGGACATCCCTGTCGCACCCCAAGGTGTACAGGGAATGGCTCTGACTCCCGGCCACGTAGTTTTATCCGGGCCCGCTCACCATCATGAAGGTCCTTAATGATCGTGAGCAGAGGGTCAGGTACTCCAAAAGCACGAAGAACGACCCAGAGCCCAGGCCTACTGATGGTATCATAGGCCTTGACCATGTCAATAAAGCAGAGATGTAGGTCTTGTTGGAATTCCCTACACCTCTGCTGTAGCAGACGGACAGAAAATATGGCATCTGTGCAGGACCGCCCTTTCCTGAAACCGCATTGGGGCTCCGCAAGCCTCTCCTCAGCGTGCCTGGCAAGGCGATGCTGAATAATCCTTGCCAGGACCTTTCCCGGCACACTGAGGAGTGAGATGCCCCTGTAGTTGTTACAGTCTGTGCGGTCCCCCTTCTTAAAAAGGGGGACCACCAGGGCATCCTTCCAATCCTGCGGAACCCGTCCAGTGGTCCAGACTGTTGTTATGATGTCATATAGGGCAGTCTGTGCACAAACGCCACCCTCCCTCAGCATTTCGCTTGGGAGATCATCTCTGCCCGCTGCCTTTCCTGGTCTCAGACTCCGGATCGCCTTCAATACTTCCTCAGCAGATGGCACCTCAGCCAGCCACTCACAGGGGGTGACTTCATCCAATATTTGAGGCACCGCAGCCTCAGCAGGGTCATCCTCACTTTGTGCCACGATGTTTTCCTGGCTGAGGGATTTTCCCTCCCCCAGGACCTCACAGAAATGCTCAGCAAATCTGCGAACCTGTTCCTGGGGGTCGGAAATTGGATCACCGTTTTTTTCCCCTAATGATGGTAATAGGTGTGGCGCTGCAGGTTACTTTTTTGATGGAGTTAAATAGAGATTTGTGATCACGGGCCACTGAGGCAGACTCCATCTCCTCAGCAACCCGCGACCACCACCCATCCTTGCAGCGCCTCACGGCTCTCCGAACCTCCGAGCGAAGGCTGCGGTAAGCCTCCTCATTCTCTGACGTGGGATTCTGTAGCCGATGACAGTGGGCCTGTCGCTTTTTCTCAACCATCCTGAACAACTCCTCTGTCATCCAGGGTGTCTGGGGAGGTCTGGACCGCGTACCCAAAGCAGCCATTGCAGCTGCATGAGTCACAGTCCTAAACCTCGCCCATTTACCCTCGACATCAGGAGGAGTCGGGGACGATGCCAATCCCAGCCGCAAGCGATGATGAAATTCTCGCTTGCAACTTTCATCAGATAACTGAGACCAGGCCACTTTAGGTTGGAATGGGGTCCTGGGTGTACACCCACCACCGGAGTGGAAGAATGGCAGGCGCATCTTACAGATGACTAGTCGATGGTCAGAGGGCAGATCAGCTCCACGGTAGGTCCTGGTGTCAAGGACATGGGCTCGCATTCGCTGGTCCGTCACTATGTAGTCCAGCAGATGTTCTTGCTTGGACCCGGCATGCATCCATGATGTTGTGTGGATACGCCGATGCCGGAACAGCGTGTTGGTAATTACAAGCCCATGGGCTGCACAAAAATCTAGCAGCCTCCTACCGTTGTTATTGAGCTGATCTGGCCCATGCCCTCCAATCACTCCAGACCAGGTGCCAGTATCATGACCAACTCGGGCATTGAAGTCACCCAACATGAT